AGGCTTTTTATTTCTTCTTGAATTATTTTTGGTACACTCACATTCTCTCTGTCACTCCATATATGTTCATTTCAAGTCTAAATTTTTTAATTTATTGACTTAAACTTGTTCATAATTTTATCTTTTCAACGTTCATGGTGTCTTTTCTATTTTTTATCCTGATACTTATTTGTGTGTGATTTCTCTCATCTTCTCTTTTTAAAGCCATCTTACTTGTAGTTTAATTGAATATATTTTCAGAGAATCTACTTATGGCTTGGCTTTTTTTTTTTTTCTGTTTTATTAATATCTATACTTTATTTCATTCCTTATTTTTTTTTGTTTTGTTTAGTTGTTCATTTCAAAATCTTCTTAAGATGGACGTTCTCTTATTCATTTTAGCCTTCTTTTCTAAATTTCTGTGTAAGTATTAATTTAAGTGCATCCCACAACTTATCCTATGTAGTATTTTCCTTATTGTTTGGTTCTGAATAATATTCAGTTTTTTATATTACTGTTTTTTATCTCCTGGATTATTTCCAAACATATAGTGCTTTTCTGATTATGTTTTTATTATTGATTCATAGCTTACCTGCTTTATGATTAGAGAGCATGGTCTTTTAAAAAATTACTTTTTTATATATATTCCTACCCAACTTTTTGTTGCAAAATATTTCAAACTTAAAGAAATGTTGCATTATAGAATAACGAATATACTTAGATTCATCAATTTCATATTTTGTTACATTTGTCTGTTGTCTGTACTTCTCCCCCCCCTTTGGCCCTCTCTTCTATTCCCTCCCTCTTCCTCTTTCTCCCTTCCCCACTTCATATCATTTGAGAGTTTCTTTTGGACATCATGAGAGAATATGCTTTTTTTATAATTTAAATTTTTTGAGACTTATTTTATCTCCTAATATGTGGTCAGCTTTTCTAAATGTTTCATGTGTGCTTGAAAATATGTATAGTGTTTGTAGCGTTTGGGTGCAGTTTTTATTTGTGTCTAGTTTGTTAATTGTGCTGTTTAAACCATTATATCCATATTGATTTTTTTTCCTATTAAATCTCCCTTAGTGTGGATTTGTCTATTTCTCCTGCAGTCTGCTAATTTTGCTTTATACATCTTGTGGCTATATTATTAGATGCATATGAATTTTAAAATTGCCTTATCGTTTCCTGGTAATTGCATGTTTTATTCTCAGGAGGTGACTCTCTTTATATCTTTTATAATGCTTTTTGCCTTAGGGTTTATTTTTCCTTAATATTAATAGAGCTATACCAGCCTTTTTTTTTAAAAAAATAGAATTTTTTGCGGGGGGGGGAGGGGGAAGAGATTAATCAGAGAACTTACATGCATATATGCATAACCCATGGACACAGACAATGGTGTGAAGGAGGCCTGGAGAGGGGGGAGTGTACAGGGTGGAGGGGATCAATGGCGGGGAAAAGGGGACATCTGTAATACTTTCGACAATAAAGATAAATTTTTTAAAAATAGAATTTTCCTGGCAAATATTTTTCTAAATCTTTTTACTTTCAACTTTTATAGATTTGTCTTTTAGCCAGAGCATTAGGTTCATTAACATTTAATTTATTTATTCATAGGTGGATCTGTGCTCTACTTTATATCTTATTTTGTCTTGCCTATTAGTATTTATTTCTTCCCTCTTCCTTGTATCTTTTATTTTAGATTCATTACTTTCTGCTCAGTTTTCTCATTGACGATTTTTTCCTCAGCTAGTTCAAAGTCATAAGCTCAGTTTCTGTTGTTCGTTTGTTTGCTTGCTTGTATAGGGTTACTTTAGGAGTAATAACATGCATACTCAAATTATCAAAGCGTACTAATCAGAAGTAAATATCAAAGACAAGGACAGGAGCCAGAGATCTACATGGATGGGTCAGGGTAGAATTCTCGGAGAACTTTAAAGAATATCTAAAAAATATAATAAAAGTTTTCTGTAACAGAAGTTCAAATAATACAAAAGTAAAAAGTATTGGTTGCCTCCTCTTATCACACCTTTTGGTGTGTCTCCTTCCAGAGCCATCATATATGAGCCTATGGGTTGGTGCATTAAAAATATGTGAACATGCTATGTATTTGCTGCAACTTGTTTGTTTTTTAACCTCATAATATATTATAGATATCTTTCCATGTCAATACATACAGATGTATATCATTATTTTTAAGGGTTAGATAATATTGCAATGAACAGATGCTTACTTAAGCATTTTCCTTTTGAAGAGAAGTTTACATTGATACCAATTTTTCACTGTAAAAACAGTGCTGCAGTGAACATCAGTGTGCATAAATCTTTGGCACCCCTTCTGTAGCACAGATTCCTGAAAGTGGAATCGCTGGCTTAAAGGGAGTGTATATTAAATTTTTTCATTAAAGAAATTAGATAAGATATCTAGAGTAGTCAAAATCAAAGAAACAGAAAGTAGGATGCTGGTTGCCAGGGCAAGGGGAGGGGAAAATGGGGAGTTGTTATTCAGTGGGTATAGAGTTTCAGTTTTACAAGATGAAAAAGTTCTAGAAATGTGCACAACAATGTGAATATAGTTAACACTACTCAAATTTATATTTAAAATGGATTAAGAGGATAAATTTCATATGCGTTTCTTACCACAATTAAAATTTTGTTTTTTTAAATTTTAGGTTACTGTAAGAGTTTGGTATGACTGGGACATATTTGGGAAAGATAAGGTAGATGGGTGGTGGGAGATCAAAAAGGGCCTTATAAGCCATTTTAAGCAGCCAGAACTTTATTTTTTAAGCAATTGGGGCATTTGAAGGGTTTCAGTAAATTGAGCATTTTCATATTTTAGAATATTCACTTAGGCATGAAGTGGAAGATCTATTGGGGCCAAAATGGGAGAGGGGAAAGGGAACAGTAGAGGCAGGGAGGTAAATTAGACTTGAAATAATATTGAATTAATGTAGTAGTGAGTGGAGGGTAAATTAGATGTTAAGGAAATAGAATGTACTGACCAGTTGGAAGGGGTAAAGTAGGAGGAGTCAAGGATAACTCCAGGTTTCAAATAGTTTGTGTGTTTCAGTGGAGAGTGGTGCCATTAACGAAGGCAAGAAATATAATAGGGACAGAAGGTTTGAGGGGAAAAAAACAAATGATCTCATTTGGGATGTATTGTTTTTGAGGTGTATCCAAATAGAGCTATTCACTAGGTTACTGGGTATATGGTGTTAAAGCCTAGAAGAAAGGTCTAGGCTAAAGAGAGCTTTAAAACATGTTTTAAGGTATAAATGGTAGCAAAAAACATGGCCTAAAGGGCAGACATTTATTACATACATGTGAAAGCATCAGTGACCAGAGTGTTAGTGTATGGTCTAAAGCAGACTGAGGACAGAACTCAAGGAAGCATTCAGCCTTTATGGACAGATGGAAGAAGAGCAATCAGCTGAGTCTGAGGAGCAGTCAGATAGAATGAAAACACGGAGATGGTGACAGGTGGCATCATGGGAGCCAAGGGAAAATGGTTTTAGAAGGAAGAATTGGTAGAAGTGGCAGATGTTGCAGCCAGATCATGTAAGACTGAGAAATCACCACTGTTTGTATTTAGAAATTAAATTCTTTGCCATGAAGTATGTTAAAAGTAGAAATCAGATTTCAGTGGGTTGAAAAATATGAGGTGAGAAAATGGAGAGAGTGATATAGACTGATTCTGCTTTAGGAGGAAGGGACACTGACATTTATTGAATGTTTGCTGGGTTTCAGGTACTGTTATCTCTGACTCATAACAGATTTGATTGTTCTACCTGACATTTCTACATTTCTTTTCTTTTTATTTATTTATTTTTTGTTAATCCTCATCCGAGGATATTTTTTCCATTGATTTTTTTTTTTAATTAATTTTTTTTTTAATTTTTGTTTAAAATATTACAAATGTCCCTTTTTCTCCCCAATGACCTGTTCTACCC